GGACTGAAAGGAGAACAAACCTATCCATTCTAAAGGAAATCAACCCTGAGTGCTCACTGGAAGGACAGATCCTGAAGCTGAGGCTCCAATACTTTGGCTATCTCATGAGAAGAGAAGACTCCCTGGAAAAGATGCTGATGTTGGGAAAATGTGAAGGCAAGAGGAGAAGGGGACGAAAGAGGACGAGATGGACAGTGTTGTTGAAGCTACCAACATGAATTTGACCCAACTCTAGTAGGCAGTGGAAGACAGGAGGGCCTGGCGTGCTCTGGTCTATGGGGTCATGAAGAGTCGGACGCGACTAAACGACGACGACGTTCTAATTTCAGATAATTACTCTTTTCATTTCACTTCAGCCATACAAACTACTGGAAATACTATGAACTAAAACTAAAGTCTCTAGATCAGAGCAGAATTCACATTCAAGTGCCACTTTTTAAACTTAGAACAACCAACATGATTTCTACTGTATGGAAAATTAAGATTCAGAAATAAAAATTATTGCCAATGCCTATTATTAAACATACAAAAAGGCAGGAAAATAAGACTAGATATGATTATACACACTATCTGAGCATTCTCAAACTTAATCTGATTAAATGGTCCTAGACTACGAGGAACAGTTTGGCTTAAAATCAAAATTTCAAAAACTGGAAGAAAATAATGGTTGTATATGTGCCGCTCACTACCTATTTATTTTTGAATAGAGCACTGGATTGGAAAACCTCAAGGATTTTCAGGTCCCATTATAACCTTTAAATATACCTTAAGATTTATTGGATCTGCACAGAAACAAACTTACTGCAGTAAACATTGTAACAAAATGCATATGCATGCACATTTTTCTGTAAAGTTCTGGAAACTGCTGCCTAAATTTCTACAAAGGAATAGCTGGATCCTCATCCTGCTTCTAAGCCTGCAGTGTCCTGCATATAACCCAAAAGACACTCAAAAAGGCAGGGAATACGAAGGGTGAAGTCCTCCTCTATTTATACGAACCTGTCATAAAAGGAAATCTAGAATCCAGGACACTCTGTTTCTTCTGCTTGCTGACAATGGTAGCTACTGTTTGCTGATTAAATAAATTTTCTTAAACAAATCTGAGATCATGGAACAGCCATACACTTTCAACTTACTGTCCTCTTTTGTTATTCACATCTCCTCTCCATTCCACAGCACACTATCAGGTCTGAATGTGATACTTATTTTAAAAACAAAACAAAACAAAACCGTGTTGCCTTTAAGGATAAAAGTTTAAAAAACCAAAATTTCAAAACAGAAAAGAGAACTAGTAGATATACTATCCTATCTAATATTATAAAACAGTTACCCACGTTTGATCCAGGAAACTCCCCAATCAACCAGCGGGCGGAACCAAGCAGCTGAACTAGCTTGCTTGCAAGTCATCAGCAGCCAGCAATGGAGAAGTGATAAATCAGCTAATAAACATCATGTTACCACTGGGTGAGAAATATTTTTTAACTGTACTGCTTTGTGACTATCCCTGGACGAGACAATCCCTACAACAGAAACAGCGTCTTCTATCTCCCACCACTGATTGAGCAGCGGTGAATATGGAGAGAGGAAAGAGACGCAGGAGACACAAAGAAAATAAATTGGACATTACTTAGACATTTAATTATACTTCAAGGAAAGAAGTTTGGTATTACTTTGTCATTAGAAATTTAAGAATCTTTCGCTTAAAACCATCATTAGTAACAACTCTGGGAAACTAAACTTATATATGTTACTTGTAACAGCTATCTAAAGCGCTGGCAAAAAGCCTAGAACAATGACCTTGACTTTATGGGTGTTTGGAATTCCCTTTCTTTTTGAGGACTGAACTGAAGTACAGATAAATTAATCCTAATTAGCCTAATCTAGCCAAAGTGGAATTTTTAAACTGTATCCTGGGTTCTGAACTTGACTGCAGCACAGGCTGAGACAGAATCAATACTGGAATGGATTGCCTCTGGGACTGGATTACAAAAGACATCAGGCCATGAACATAAACACTCAATGAACTATTTGGTGAACAAGTGTCCTTGAGCCTTTAGGAAGGGAAAACCCTCTACATCTGAGACTGAATTCAAGTTTAAACCTAAAGATGATACATCTATTAAAGTGGCCCTATGGAAGCAAGTATTGATGGAATTGGACTAATTACTTTAAGCATCTGGACAACTTTCACTTAGAATACAATTATTTGACGTCTGGGACATAATGCCACAACAAGGAAAATTTTGGGATGAAACAAAATCTACCCTTCAAGCAATTTTAGAAATAGTGAGATCCCACAACAAAGAGGCAAAATTATTCAAGGAGCAGTTAAATAAGGGCTATAGTCAACAGAAGACAGGGAATAATGAACAAGGAAATGAGAGGGTGGTGGATGATGTATGCCAATCAAAAGAGGGGCTGGAAGAAATTAGAGGAAAAAACCAAGGAGATCTAATTCTAACCCTGGAGCCGAGGAGAGTTTTAAGTGTGCTAAGGGAAGATAAGGGGAGAGAACCAGCAGATCTAATTAAAAAGAGCCTGGAAAATCTATTGGATAGATCAAATATTCTCAGATGGCACAAGTAAAGGCAGAATTTTTAGGGAGATAGAAACAAGAATTGGGAAAAAAACAAATACGGGAAGGAGTTACTTAGATGAAAAGGGAAAAATATTAAGGTGGCCTTCAACATTGAAAGCATGTATATAGCTAACTTCTGGAATTGTAAAGGGGCACATCTTATATATTAGAAAAGGGAATTAAACTGAAATAAGGGATCACTAATCAGGGTAAAGGCATAATGGTGATTCTTAAGATAAATTGAAGCTAGACAGAAGGATGAGGTTTAAAAAAAGTAATTAATGAGCATACATTAGATATGATATTGATATAGACATGATAGAAAATGTGAAGATAGAAATGGTTAAACAATGATATAAAGAACATCTGTATAAAATGCTTTGGATAACATCTATTTTGTGTTAGGAACCATAGTTATTATTGGTAATAAATATAAAGTTCATCAGTTAAATCGCCTCAAAATTATATAGATTTGAAACCAGAATTACTTTTATTAGATACCATATTTGCCGGCGTATAAGGCGACTGGGCGTATAAGACGACCCCCCAACATTTCCACTCAAAATGTAGAGTTTGTTATATACTTGCCATATAAGACTACCCCCACTTCCGCATGC